AATAACAGTGTTTAGTCCACTGTACTACAGGCTCTTGATTCTATCCCTCTGTTTATGCAGTCTAGAACTGTGTTGGCTTTTTTGGCAGCTGATTTCTATAATATGCTTTACTAATCTGTCTGGATAGTAAACATCTATCTGAGCATGGTTCTACTTACATATTTATTTATTTATTTATTTATTTATTTATTTATTTATTTATTTATTAATTAATTATATTTCTATACCGCCTTTCTCCCGTAGGACTCAAGGTGGTGTACAGTCAAGAAAAATATAGACACACAAACATCATAAAATTGCTAATTAAAATTGTTACTTAGTTTGGTCAATTAAATAAAACCCAGAATTAGATAACATTTAAAAAATCATTCGCATGTTTGTATGTTTAGCCCTGCCTGTTGGAACATCAGGGTCTTGAGGGCACGGCGGAAAGCACGGAGATCAGGGATATTCCGTATCTCCGGGGGCAGTTCATTCCAAAGGGTTGGAGCCCCCACAGAGAAGGCCCTCCCCCTGGGAGTCGCCAGTCGACATAATTTGACTGACGGTACCCTGAGTAGTCCCTCCCTGTGAGAACGAACTGGTCGGTGGGAGGCTATTGGTGGCAAAAGACGGTCTTGTAGGTACCCAGGTCCTAAGCCATGGAGCGCTTTAAAGGTGATAACTAACTAATATGTATGTTCTGCTACATGTGGACCCCATTGGATTTTTAAAATTTCAATCAGAATAGAGCTGGAAGGGACCTTGGTGCAAGGGTGAAATGCTACCGGTTTGCACCGGTTCGGGTTAACCGGTAGCGGCGGTGGTGGGCGGTTTGGAGAATCGGTAGCGGTGTCAGCGCGAGGCTCCGCCCACCCACCTGGATGTCATTACTTCCTGGTTTCAACCAGGATGTAACCTGTTTTTTACCCTTTCCACATGCGCAGAAGGTTTGTGCATGCGCAGAGGGTCCAAGCACGCATGTGACGTGCATACATGCGCGAGCACGGTGCATGCACTTCTGAACCGGTAGGGAAGGTAAGTAGATTTCACCCCCTGTCTTGGAGGTCTTCTAGTCCAACCACCTGCCCAAGCAGGAGATATACCATTTCAGACAAGTGGCTGTCCAGTCTCTTCTTAAAAACCTCCAGTGATGAAGCCCCCACAACTTCTGAAGGCAATTTCTGTTCCACTGGTTAATTGTCCTCACTGTTAGGAAGCTTCTCCTTAATTCCAAGTTGCTTCTCTCCTTGATTGGTTTCCATCCATTGTTTCTTGTCCTTGTCTTCAGGTGTTTTGGAGAATAGGTTGACCCCCTCTTCTTTGTGGCAGCCCCTTAAATACTGGTCCTAGTCCTAGGATGAAGGGTCAAATAGACGTCTGCGACAACAGAACCATTGATGGTTATATTCTGTCTCAACTCCTCACTCCAGCGAAGCAGGTTATTACTTCCTTTTGCAGAACATCTTTAAAAAGGCAAGCCAACAGAATTGTAGTTCTGTGATATCCAGAAGGGTAGCTTTGTTTACTTTATTGCACACAAACAAAGGGGAATGGCGATCATTTCCCCCATAAGACTTTTAATTGGATTAATGGGGAGAACAGCAGAAAGGGATTACTTAAACCAGACAGCTTAATCCCAAGGATGTTAAATTTAGCCTCAGAGAGAACCAGCCAAGCGAGAGTTAAACCAACCCCATCCAATTATTTAATATTGTGGGGAAATCCACATTTCGTCAACTAACCTATTTTGCATATCCACTTCTCTCTCTTTTTTTTTTTTAATTTGATTTATATGCCGCCCTTCTCCGAAGACTCAGGGCGGCTTACAATGCGTTAAGCAATAGCCTTCATCTTTTTGTATATTTATACAAAGTCAGCTTATTGCCCCCACAAACCGGGTCCTCATTTCACCTACCTTAGAAAGGATGGAAGGCTGAGTCAACCTTGAGCCTTGGCGAGATTCGAACCCTGCAGTAATTGCAGGCAGCTGGTCTTAATAACCAGCTTAATAACAGAGTGCCTTAAACCTCTGTACTACCAAGGCTCTTTTCTCCAAGTCGATTGCTGAAGTTTTGCTGCTGAAATTAAATTCCTCCAATTCGCTCAAAGCCGCCTGCATTTTCTTCAGTTTCAAATGCTGAATCTGAAGCAGTTGGGAAACAAAGAACGTTCCTGAGGAAACAGAATTTATTGCATTTGAGAGAGCTTTTTTTTTTAGCCTTGATGCAAATTATGACACCAAAGTTTGGACCTTATATAGTACGCACATAAACAGCAGTGGCTGTTCAAAGCCTTGTCAGGGAGACTTGGAGAATAACAGTAATTGACTGATACCGTCAATTTACCATGTTTCCCTGAAAATAAGACCCTATCTTATATTTTTTTGAACCCCGAAATAAGCACTTGGCCTTATTTTCAAGGAGGTCTTATTATTTTGGGGTGCATGGAGCAAGACGGGGCTCCTCTTGCCGTCTTACCTGATTTCCAGCTCTCTCTCCCTAACCCTAACCAGAGGAAATGGCAGGGACAGGCTGCACGTGCGTTTAAATATTTTCGGGGAGGGCTTATTTTCAGAGAAGGCTTATTTTTGGGGGCGGTCTTATTTTCGGGGAAACATGGTACTCATCACTTTTTATAATGCTATTTTTATATGTTATTTATTTTTAAGTTGGATTATAATAATTGTTTTTATGTTCTATCTATCTTTCTATCTATCATCTATCATCTATCATCTATCATCTATCATCTATCATCTATCATCTATCATCTATCATCTATCATCTATCTATCTATCTACCTACCTACCTACCTATCTATCTATCTATCTATCTATCTATCTATCTATCTATCTATCTAAAACAGTTCCACTAAGGGAGCCATTTTGTGTAACGCAGGGTGTCAAACTTGCGGCCTGCGGACCAGATGCGTCAGGCGCTGGCCACGCTCACACCTGGTTTAGCAAAGGGGGAAAAAGTCGCGATACGTCATGTGATGACAATGTGATGCCACGAGTTGTTTGTAATCATGTTTATACTTATACCTGTTATCTAATACATGCTTGACAAAATAAAGAAGTAAATAAATAAAATAAATAAAAATAAAGTTTGACACTCCTGGTGTAGTGGTTAAGACATCAGGCTGGAAACCTGGAGACACTGAGTTTTAATACTGCCTTTCGCCCAGGGATGAAATCTACTTACCTTCCTTACCGGTTCGGAAGTGCATGCACAGAAGGTAAAAAACACATTACTTCCTGGTTAAAACCAGGTCCGATCCGGGAGCATTTCACTCCTGCTTTGGCCTGAAGCCAGCTGGGTGGGCCATCCATTCTCTCTCAGCCCTAGGAAAGAAGCAATGGCAAACCACTTCTGAAACACCTTGCCAAGAAAACTGTAGCAATTTGTTCTCCGAGTCTCTGAGAATTGTGCACGACTAAATGGAAAAAAAAAACAAAACAGCTTTACTATTGGATATTTTACTATATCTGGCCCTGTGGCTGCAATAAATTGGTTGGATTTAACTAAGCAAGTCATTCTTGTCCTCACTATTAAAAAAAAGCCCCCATCACCCCAAGCAAGGAATCCTGAGCGCTACTTATAGTCCTGCCTATCTGGCAATGTTATAATGAAGAGTTATGGAGTTATAATGAAGGAAAGAGTTCAACAAAGAGTTATAATCAAGCCTTACTAGGCCTCTCTTATACACACTTGGCACTTCCTAGATACTCCTTAATCCCAGATGGCACATTTTGATCTGGTTAGTATGATTGGGTGTCACCAGAATAACCGGTAGGGTAATTTGTCTGGCTTATAGTTAGAGCTGACCATGTTAAATATGGAAAGGGAACAAAGCAGATGGATGTTCTTGTGGACTAAAACCTATTTCATTATTGGCTGACGATGCTAATTCATGAAAACTGATTAGAAAACTCTCTTAGGCATTAAGATGTTTATCTCTATATTGATTGTACTTTGCTTTGTAGAAACCAGGGATGTCCGACCATGGTAACTTTAAAGCTAGTGGACTTCAACTCCCAGAATAGCTAACTGGGGGATTCTGGGAGTTGAAGTCTGCAAATCATAAAGTTGCCAAGGTTGGATACCCCCGGTATAAACCGGGGGTGAAATCCAACAGGTTCTGATAGGTTTTGGAGAACCGGTAGGAGAAATTTTGAGCCGTTCGGAGAACTGGTAGCGGAAATTTTGAGTAGTTCGAAGAACCGGCAAATACCACCTCTGGCTGGCCCAAAAGTGGGGAGGGAATGGAGATTTTGCAGTATCCTTCCCCTGGAGTGGGGTGGGAATGGAGATTTTGCAGTATCCTTCCCCTGCCACTCCCACCAAGCCACCCCCACAGAACCGGTAGTAAAAAAATTTGGATTTCACCACTGGTATAAACAATATATAAAACTCGACAAAAAAATAAGCACCGGTAAGCATTTCTTTTAAAAATGAACACTTCGTTTGCTATTCTTCTCTCTCTTTTTTTTATTCAGAGAGATTCTGTGAGCAAAGATTATTTTCTTGGTAATAATCTTGGATAGATCCTTTTCTTTAATCAAACAGGTGATGTGCGCACATATGTAAAAAATGCCATGGGGGGGGGGGGGGAAATCACTTTTGTGACATTGCTGTGAAATTGATCTTAATTTATTTAATCCACTGAAACCTCCCCTACTACACTCATCTTGGTAATCTTGGGAAGCGTAACACTGACCTGGCATTAAAATGAAAATAATGGCATGTCATCATGACAAGGAGCAAGGCCACCATGAAAGTCTTAACATCAGAGTCACACCACTAATTCATTCCTGAACTAAGGAAGATGTGGTTTATATTAGTGACCTGTAAGAAGGTTCATGGCCTTTGGGAAAAGTTTATTCCAGGGAACAACAGTGTGATTAATGGTTTATTTACAACTCTGACATCCAGGCTGTCAGGACTCTTCATCGGCCTTTGATGTAGAACATGCTAAAAGCTCCTCCCGTCAGTCTTATCAGCTCACAGGAGAAGATCAGCAAGAGAAGGATGAGCTGATACGGCTAACGTTCTGGCACCAAGCCTCTCTTCTCCATGGACCATAATGCGAGAAAAGCTACCAAGTCACTTATCCATCACTGCACTGAGTTGTAAACAGATACGGTGCAAGGCAAGGCATCGTTCTCTCTGAAAGCATTTACTGCATCTTTGGCAGAACACGAGGTGCTGATATTATGACTTGAGAAATGGGCACTGCAGTGGTGCCAGATCTTCAGAGGACATTCAGACTATTGGTCCAATTATTGGGAAGGATTGGCCTGAACTGATCATCAGAGACCATGAGGGAGGAAAAACCCTAAAGGTCCATGCTTTTGCTATTGTCTATCCCTGAAAATAACTTCTTGCTTGCATTCTTGGCCGAGAGTGACTCTAACATCTGGTTTCTATTACATGTCAAGAGGAACAGTGGATATATCAGGAGTAGTTCCAGCACTGTTGAAGCACATGACTTGGATCCAGAATTCCTTATCTGATGGATGTTCTCCAGGGCGGTATTTCTTTATGCTATAGATTTGATACTTGAGTAAGTTTATGACTAATGATGAAATAATACTTATTGGTTTTAGCCTTATTCCCATCTTCCTGATGTTCTAGTTGGATTCCTCCTCTCATTCTTTCTTCTGGGTTGAGCCACGTGATTTCTGAACCGCTGCCAAAATGTTATTTCTTGAATCAACTTTTCGTGCAGGAACTTTAAAAATTATGGATAGTTCCTCAGATGGCTGTGAAGCCAGAAGACAATCGTTGTGCATGCCACTTGAAAACTACATTTAAATTTTTGCCGAACTTCAGATAACCTTTTGAGGGATGGGCCCAATGCATTTCTTTGGATGGCTGGAGTCTACAGTTGGCATATAGGACCAAAATTTTCTTAAGAGTGTTCTGGAACTTTGGAGAAATTTGGGGGTTATACTTTGTTGTTCTCCTAAAACAGGTGTCGGCAACCTGTGGCTCCGGAGCCGCATGTGGCTCTTTGGGCCCTCTGCTGTGGCTCCATGTCAAGTGATCCCACCACTGGGTGGCCTCACCACTCTCCCTCCCCTCCCAGTCACTCCTTGCCTGGCCTGAGAAGGTAAGGGCGATGGCGGGGGATGGAGAAGCGGCCAGGGAGATACAGAGAGAGTGGGAGAGAGACCGACGTAGAGAGATACAGAGGAGGGGGGAACAGGGAGGGAGGGAGAGAGAGAGATATATCAAAAGGGTTTTGTGATTCCTGGTGTTTTTTAACAATGGGTTCTCTGTCCTAATGACTGGCTGGGTAGGCGTGGCTAGGGGGAGGTCATGTGACTGATGGAAGTGAGTGGACGTCGAGTTGGCCACACCCACCCAGGTTTTGTGGCTCCCGGTGTTTTCTTTTCTGTGGGAAATGGGTCCAAATGGCTCTTTGAGTGTTTAAGGTTGCAGACCCCTGTCCTAAAACAATGTCAACCCTACTCTCCATTCTCCAAAGCACCCGAAGGCAGGGCAATAGAAGCAGTGGACGGACACTAATCAAGGAGAACAAGCAACCTAGGACTAAGATGAAATTTCCTGACAGTCAGAACAATTAATCAGTGGAATGACTTGCCTCCAGAAGTTGTGGTTGCTAAAACACTGGAGGTTTTTAAAAAGAGATTGGACAACAACCATTTGTCTGAAGGGGTGTAGGGTTTCCTGCCTAGGCAGGGGGCTGGATTAGAAGACCTCCAAGGTCCCTTCCAATTCTGTTACTCTATTCTGTTCTATTATCTCCAACACTTTGCTTCCGCTCCCCACATCTACTGCTTTAAGGGCCTCCTCATGAATTCCTGTTCCTTGGGCAGGTTCACGTGATTCTTGAGTGTTTGTAGAACAGAGGTGCCTACTTCCAATGGTCAAAGGCTAATGTGAAACATTCTGAGGCAAAAGCAGTTGTGACCAAGGCAAAGATGCAAAGCGTTTTGGATGTGGATAGAACCAGATTTTCCTCTTTTTTCAGTGGAGAATAAAGATTTTGTTTTCCTACTTTAGATTGACTATTAGAGCTACTTTAGTAGTTGACGTCTCAAAAGGCAAAAGATTGAAGTATCAATTGACTTTATCAATTAGTAGTCAGAGGAACTGAATAACTCGCAGCCATAGGTCTTCTGATTATTATAATCCCTACTCCATACCCTGAGAATCATCACTATCTATCTATCTATCTATCTATCTATCTATCTATCTATCTATCTATCTAAATATAAAATATATATCTATATCTATATCTATCTATATCTCTATCTATCTATCTATCTATCTATCTATCTAAATATAAAATATATATCTATATCTATATCTATCTATCTATCTATCTATCTAAATATAAAATATATATCTATATCTATATCTATCTATCTATATCTATCTATCTATCTAAATATAAAATATATATCTATATCTATATCTATCTATATCTCTATCTATCTATCTATCTATCTATCTATATAAATATAAAATATATATCTATATCTATATCTATCTATCTATCTATCTATCTATCTATCTATCTATCTATAATCTATCTAAATATAAAATATATATCTATATCTATATCTATCTATCTATCTATCTATCTATCTATCTATCTATCTATCTATCTATCTTAAAAATTGTCCTAAAGATGCGAGTTCCAGGTATAGTTATAGAAGAGGCGATAGACATCACAATCTCTGGAACGTTTAAAAGTTTAAATTTAAGCTTAGCACAAGTTTTAAAATAAAAATTTTAAAACTTTTAAACATTCCGGAGATCGTGATGTCTATCGCCTCTTCTATATATATCTATATATCTATATATCTATATCAGTGGTGAGTTTCAAATTTTTTTTACTACCGGTTCTGTGGATGTGGCTTGGCGGGCATGGCATGGCTTGGTGGGTGTGGCTTGGTGAGCAAGGCAGGGGAAGGATACTGTAAAATCTCCATTCCCACCCCATTCCAGGGGAAGGATACTGTAAAATCTCCATTCCCTCCCCAATCCAGGGGAAGGATACTGCAAAATCCCCATTTCCTCCCAATCAGCTGGGACTCGGGAGGCAGAGAATAGATGGGGGCGGGGCCAGCCAGAGGTGGTATTTACCAGTTCTCCGAACTACTCAAACTTTCCGCTACCGGTTCTCCAGAACTGGTCAGAACCTGCTGAAACCCACCTCTGAAATATTGTTTTTTTTTTTTTAAGAAAAGTCAGGTGATGTCCTATTATTCATGTCTCTTGATGGCTTGATGGCTACTTAATTTGATCTCAGTCCCTTAATTTTGCTATTTGCCCTTAGGAAGAAAAGCAAATTCCAGGGTCTCCATAAAAAGGCACTATTTTACTTTTTAAAACATATAATAGGCCCAGTCCACTTGGAAGCCCTCTCTGTGCACTTTCTATTTTCTATCAAAAATGCATTCATTCATTCATTCATTCATTCATTCATTCTTTGAGCCATTCACTCCAATAGAATTGAATCCTGGTAGGTTGAGCAACAAGAAGTTTAATTTGAAACAGCTGGTTCTTTTCTAAAATGGCTTTACTCTCTTCCAAATAGTTGGGCCGACTTATGACTAGCCCTCCCTTTCCTGGCTCGAGGTGGAAGGACCGTGATTAGTTCTCCCAGCTGGATCATCGCGGTTCCTGCAATTCCCGTTCCAGAGCTGTATGTTTTGCATTACAAACCTTTGGCCTAACAACATTTTCGTGAGGGTGGAGTTGATGATCTGGCTAAGAGGGAATAGCTTGTTCGTTTCTAGTTTTCCTAAAATTATTTCATAATCGGAGCGGCTAAGAACTCTCCACCTAATTCAAACACCCAGAAGGAATGTCCCACACAGACGAAGATAAAATCTTGTTCTCCATTGTCCTAAAGTGCAGGAAGCAGAATTGAGTTTAGAAGAGGGGTAGGCAACACTTTTAGGACCAGTAAACTCTGAGCAAAGCTGGCTCAGGAATTCTGGGAATTGAAATCCACATAAAGCCCAGCCTGGGTTAGAAGAAAGGAGATTCCAACTTAATTCGGGAAAAGGCCCCTAATTTCTTATTAATAGAGGCAGTTTAAGAGTGCAATAAATATGAGGAGGTGGTAGTCTCACCTTCACTGGATGTGCAAAGTAGAGGCTATATCTACTGTACATCTCTGTCCTGGATGCTTTAATTCAGGGGTCTCCAACCTTGGCAATTTTAAGACTTGTGGATTTCAACTCCCAGAGTTCTGGGAGTTGAAGTCAACAAGTCTTAAAGTTGCCAAGGTTGGAGACCTCTGCTTTAATTTGGATTCCAGCCCTACATAGCGAGGGGCGGGGGTTTGAATGCAGTGGCCTAATGGCCTCTTTCAAACTCTCTGACTATATAATCCCAGCCTATTCAAAGAACACGAAGATCTCTTCGTGTTCTTCTTCGTGTTCTTTGAATAGGCTGGGCTTAATAACAGAATACCAGAAGAAAAGATTGACCTAAAACCTGAAATTTTTTTTATTAGGCATACTTAAAAAAAGTAGTAGAAAAGAAATAAAATACATCACATTACATATAATTACAGCAGCTAGATTAACCCTAGCCCAATCCTGGAAATTAGAACAGTTGCCAACAGAACAACAAATAATCCAAAAAATATTTATATGTGCAGAAATGGATAGATTAACTTTAAAATTAAACAACAAGGAAGACTCACAGTATTACAAAATATGGGACAGATGGTATGAATGGATCAATCGATGGAAAAAAAACTAAAGTCAAATACAGTAAGAAATTAAGGGTAACAAATTAACACCGTCATTAAGACATCAAGGTTAATGTATATATATATTTACATGTTCAAATATAGATAGATAATTCTGTTTGTTAGTTTTAGTATATATGTAATTTAGAATTGTACTTTCTTTTTTAGAGTTAAGAACGTTTTGTATAATCTTTTATCTTTTTATATTGAATAAAGTTTGTTTTTAAAATTAAAAAAAAAACAAAGAACACGAAGAATGAGCCACCCACTTTCTGTTAGAATTTGGGAATTATTGAGTACAATAAGCAGTGCGTTCTGAATGGAGAAGTACACATTCTCTTACATAGTGGAACCTACTACGGGAAAATTGACGATAACTATCAGTTTTGCTTAAAAAAAAAGGAGTTTTCAAAGCATTTGCCATCAAAATGCTGAAAGGGTAGGCTTTGATACTGACATTTGAGAAAATCTCCCCCTCTCCAAATTTTAATCTAACATTATGCAAGATATTTGATCTCCATTCTTAACTGATCTGCATTGAATTAACTTGGCTTTCTTAGCCAGACTGAAACATCATCCCACTAGGACCGTGATGGTGAACCTATGGCACGCGTGCCGGAAGTAGCATGCAGCCAGCATGCGCACAAGAAACCAGACGACCAAGTGAGTGGCATTCATGCACTTGCCGGAAACTGGAAGCTCAGCTTCCCGGAGAGCACATGCGCACCGGAGAACTCCTCTTCCAGTTTCTAGCGCTCCCATTTTGGCACTCGGTGCCAAAAAGTTTCATCAACACTGCATTAGGAGCTACAATAAGAACTTATCTCTAGTCAAAATAGATTTAATAAGGCAATCTTCATAAATTATTGTGCTCTGCAATCTGTTTACTTGACATTGTCCTCTTGACTATATAACCCAACTAGCATGAAATGTTTGCCTCTCAACTTTCCTATAAGTGCATTAGTGTTAAGTGATGTGGAATACACGTTTTCCAGTACGAGTTATAGCCCAAATGGGAACTCTCTATACTAAATGTAACTCCTAAAATGCTATTTGTAAATCTGAGACAGCAGATACCTTCCTTTAAAAAAATGCTAAACTCTTTATCTTCAGAAAAGTGTGGAAATTTGGCAATGTGTATTGGTGAACTGAAGAGCTGATGAATGTCTCAGGGAACTGGATAAACATAAAATGCTGCCTTGAAAGGAAGATTTGGCAAGAGCAGTTCACACGAGGGATTCCACATGGATTAAAAGATCTTTTTTCTTTGCTGATAGTCGTTCGGCCTTTAAAGAGCAATAAATGTTCTGCTTCAATTCAATCCACTTAATAGAGGTGTGTGGAGACAATCAAATCTGGTTGAAGGACACGGTTCTGGAATTCGAGAAACAGGAAGATCCAAACCGGATCTTTCCAGGGGTAGATAGCATGATCTCATTCGATATTCCAGTCCAGGATTCTCCATTCTCCATTAGTACACTTTTCTTAGCCATGAGCCTTTAACAACTCAGACATTTTAAGAGCCATGCAACTCCATATGGTTCCAATTATTCAGTGGTTTGCAGAATTGATGAATATGCTGTAGATCAACTATGGAAGATTTTAATGAATCATGTGGAGCCCTGGGGCATTCTGAGTTTGGTAGTTTTCTTACAGATGTTTCATTACCTACTAGGGAACATCTGCAGATATTCCTTCATTGGGTAATGAAATATTTGCAAGCAAGCCACAGAGCTCAGAGAGCACCAAGGACTCCATAGTTCCACCTTAAGCTACAAATATTCTCTTCTATTGTAATGGATCTTGGAATCAGTTTATTGATGTCAATAAATATACCTTATGTCTGGTTATGTTTTGTCCCTTTTTCATTTCTACTTTTTCCTTCTTTTATAATTGCATATATTTCTTTTTCCTTTCCTTTTTTTGGGGGGGGGGTTTCTATCTAGTTATTTTAAAACAAAAAATCAGGAAAAAAGTCACAAAACTTTATTTACCTCAGAATGTGACGCTGTTTGTAACGACAGTAGCCCCTGCTAATGGGAAGCCCCTCATGTCAGATTTAGAACAGGTTTAGGATGAAAAGCGGGGTGGGTGGGGTGTTGTTGTTTTTAAAAATGTTTGTGAAGAATGATGCTTCTTTATGAATGAAATGTAGCAGATATCTCAAGACCTAAGATGGACACCTAACATCAAAAACATCATCAAAAGAGCACAGCAAAGAATGTTTTTTCTGTGCCAACTCAGGAAGCTCAAATTGCCCAAGGAGCTGCTGATCCAGTTCTACAGAGGAATTATTGAGTCTGTCATCTGCACCTCCATAACTGTCTGGTTTGGTTCTGCAACCCAACAAGACAGACAGAGACTTCGGAGGATAATTAGAACTGCAGAAAAAACAATGGCTACCAACCAGCCTTCCCTTGAGGACCTGTATCCTGCACAAGTCAAAAAGAGGGCTGTGAAAATATCTACAGACCCCTCACATCCTGGACATAAACTGTTTCAACTCCTACCCTCAAAACGACGCTATAGAGCACTGCACACCAGAACAACTAGACACAAGGACAGTTTTTTCCCAAATGCCATCACTCTGCTAAACAACTAATTCCCTCAACACTGTCAAGCTATTCACTAAGTCTGCATTGCTATTACTATTAGTCTTCTCATCGTTCCTATCACCCATTTCCTCCCACTTATGACTGTATGACTGTAACTTTGTTGCTTGTATCCTTACAATTGATATTGTTTCCTAGTATGATTCGATTGCTTATTTATACCCTATGACTATCATTAAGTGTTGTACCTTATGATTCTTGACGAATGTATCTTTTCTTTTTATGTACACTGAGAGCATATGCACCAAAGACAAATTCCTTGTGTGTCCAATCACACTTGGCCAGTAAAGAATTCTCTTCTCTTCTCTTCTCTTCTCTTCTCTTCTCTTCTCTTCTCTTTTTCTCTTTCTTCTCTTCTCTTCTCTTCTCTTCTCTTCCCTCCCTTCCCTCTTCCTTCCTTCCCTTCCCTTCCCTTCCTTCTCTTCCTCTCCTCCCCTCCTCCCTCCCTTCCTCTCCTTCCCCTCCCCTCCCCCCCTCCCCTCCCCTCCCCTCCTCTCCTATTCTATATCAGGAGCTGCAGCAAATATACAGTAAGTTGAGGACTACCTTTATATTATAATTAGAAAAATAATTGTGGGGCAAGTCAGTATTGCCTTACCTAAACAGAGAAACTGAATGATCACAGGAAGGCAGGAAAGCAATGGGAGTTAGAGTGACTTCTGACTTCCTGCCAGTTTCCCCATTGACTTTACTTGTGGGAAGATGGCAGGGAGTACCAGAAATCACAAACACGTAACTGCAGGGATGTTGCAATAGCAACAACTTTCTGAATAAAACAGGCCTGAACAGTGTGAAAATTTCAGTGCCACTGTATTAATGGGTCCCAGGTTTTTTTAAAACACATTCTCTATGATTTTAAGTATGCTGAGTCAAAAATAATCATGGACCATTTAGCTAACTTGAGAATGCAAACAAACAGATAAATACAGTGGTGGAATTCAGCTGGTTCACACCAGTTTGGGCAAACCAGTTGTTAAACCCTTCCCCTCCACCCGCTATCATAGTGGATCCTGGGCGCTGCACTGCAATGGAGAAATGGGCAACGGAGCGGTTGGCGCAAGGGAAGTAGAAGGCCGCTTTCCCTCTTTCTTCTCCCTGCTCCTCCTCCTTCCCTCATGCAGGCCACTCCATTGGCCGTTTCTCCATCGCAGCGCAGCGCCCAGGATTCACTTTGATAGTGGGGGCAGGTGGGTAAAACCTTCCAACTCTGTTAAATTATACTTGTTAGTAATTTTGTTCTATTGCCTGTTTAGCATTTAGCATTAACGGATGACATCCACACCTCTTGAGCAAACCCACGCTGACTTGTGAAACGTTTGTGAAAAGCGGTTCCCGATTTCAAGAGCGCGCACAGAACAAGACTTTTCTAAAGAAAACTCCAAGAGAAATGTCCGGATCAGAGCAGAGAAGGCAATCCGTACACCCAGTTCTATTAGGGGAAAAATGCTTACGAAAATGCACCTATAGGTTGAGAGGCATTTATTCGAAGCAACGGCATGAAAACGCAAACCAATTTGGAGGCAGATTGTTGTTTTTTTTTTAATTGAAAAGTTTTAAAAAGTTTTACAGACATTTCCCCTTCCCCCTCCCTCCTCCCCTTCCAACCCTCCCCTTCCCCCCCCCTCACCCCCCCACTTCCCAGACCAAAATACAGGGTATAACATTTGACAATCATAAGCTAACATAAGCTAATTCTCTATAGCCTCCTATCCCACTCTTGAACTTTTAACTCCCCTTTTACTAAACTAAATTTAAGTACCTTATAAAATCTCTTTGATCATTCATAAGCTATTTGGAATTTTTTAGTCCGATATTTGCCTTGAATATAATCAATCCATCTTTTCCATTCTAACATA